ACACACACACACACACACACACACACACACACACACACACACACACACACACACACACACACACACACACACACACACACACACACACACACACACACACACACACACACACACACACACACACACACACACACACACACACACACACACACACACACACACACACACACACACACACACACACACACACACACACAAACAAGCACATTAACGCCTACACACAAACGAGAACAAGGTTGTCAACAACCCCCCTAGATAGTACACTAAATTTCTCAATCTTCCAGATGTCGGCAATGAATCTTCCTCCGATAACATGTTTCCCACTTCAAAGCAGAGCATACATGCCGAAGAAGAGACAAACAACCCAAATTTCCCACAGATCCTAATACTACCTACCCAAGCTGGAGCTGGCTGCTACATGTAACACAATATGGATAAAAGAGAGGAGGGAGGCAATAACAACACGTAAAGCATACAGCACAGGAACACACCTCAAAGTCATCGGCACTGGCGTCGGGTTTCGATAGACGTTTGTGACGATGGCGAAGATATCTGAGTAACAACACACACAATACTAGCTTGATCCATTTTGTCCAACAGTGCATGAATAACAACACAGAAGATTAGAGCAGAAAAGAATACACAACGTCAACTGCTACAAAGAGAACTTCCAAGATGGCCAAGTTCCAAATAGTCAGATAGGATAATAAAAGAACGGCACAAACAAACACCAGACACACGTGCCAAGAAGTGATCACTTACGCTTCCCAGACAATCTTCTCAGCCTCTGCTGAGTGAAGGTCGGCAAGTGCAGACTGAAAGGTGCTGTCGACGTTGAACTCATAGTGCCCTTCAAACTCTGACAAGTAGTCATCGTACTTGCCAAACGCCTCAATCTGGCTGTGCCAAAGACTATCCACAGAACCAGCAGTTGCAGTTGCAGCAGCAGGAGCAACAGCAACAGCAACAGCAGCAGGAGCAACAGCAGCAGCAGCACATAATAGAACAGATCAATTGTGGATAATCCTAGCAAGACACGATCAAAGTGGGAGTAGATGATAGTGTCATGATACTGAAGTACTAGTCCTGCTCAAGTTATTAAAAGTGACTGTGTATAGCCAATGGCAGCCTAGAACAGGTAGTGTTCATACGATCCACCTAAATGCACGTCATAACAGGTGAAGTATCGTCATGACCGTACCATCGGCACGTGGTGCTCTGCTTTTGTCGTTGCGTAGATTACACTGTTAACCCTTTTTATCCGCAAAGGATAGCATGAGTACACTTTGGTCTATGCACATTATTTCACCTAACTGCACAATATTGGGTATGCATGGATTGTTCCTGTATATAATAGCGTATACACACATTTCTTTTTCTTTATCTGTAAAGGGTTTGATGTTCACCCAACCCTGCTTTTGGCCACAGCCCTCTGGTGGTCACTTCGCACCGTTTGCTAGCAGAACCTACGTGTATAGTATTGGACTATGTCATATGATGTGACCATATGCGGCTGTAGCACTGGATAGAGAAAGTTCATGGAAAACAGCACCCTTCGTGTGAGGAAATTCGGGCGAACAGCTTACCACGCGGAGAGCCAGAGATAGGCCCTGTCGCGCTCCGACAATGGTTTCAGATATTCACGCTCCAAACCCAGGTCATGAGGTGTCCACAATCCCAGGGCATAGCTGCAGACAGGTAAAAACAAAAATACAGTCAACTTCGCTAATGACGACTGTGGATATAACGACAATTCGCGAGTAACGACAGAATTTCTATGCCCAGAGCAAAGTCCATTCTACCTGTATACATATAATCAAGAGTACATAACCCCCTAGAATGTGCAACGCCTGATCCAGCTCTGCATAGGGTCTTGGTCGAGCGTAATCGGATCTTCTGATGTCATGCGTACACTCCACACTAGCGCAAGGCCGGTCTCGAGGCAGGGCACCGTTGGTTTTGATCCGAGAGTACCCGCGACTCCCCGGGTTCCCCTCAAATGTGTATGGTATTATGACGCAAAGATCCGATTTCGTTCGACCAAGACCCTATGCAGAGCTGGATCAGGCGCTGCACACTCTGGGGGGTTATGTACTCTTGATATAATGAGACTTCGGGTATAAGGACACTTCGCGAATACGGACACTTTTTTGATGCCCCGCCGAGTGTCGGTATACGCAAAGTTGACTGTAGTACGTTGAATCTACAGGCGGATTCGATGAAATCCAACAAGCCCACCAGCAGTACCCACATCTGGAAATATTCACCATGATCACACTATCCTACTGCAGACTTCTGTAAAACACATCTAGATGAGGCAATTTGCAGTTTACACACACAAACACTCCATCGTGCATTGCAGGTGTGCACAGCAACATCACCTCCACACACCCCAGTCACACAGTGAGTATACAATGGAGATACACACGTCACGACAACATCAAAGTACAAGCTGCGCGGACGGCACGGAAGGCATGAGATATGGGGAGAAAAAGTGCACATATACGCACTGTCAGATCCCCTATGCTCACACACATATACGCACTGCCAGATCCCCTATCCTCACACATATATACGCACTGTCAGATCCCCTATCCTCAGACACATCTACGCACCGTCATCTCCTATCCTCACACATATACGCACTGTCAGATCCCCTATCCTCACACATATACACACTGTCAGATCCCCTATGCTCAGACATATACGCACCGTCAGATCCCCTATCCTCACACACATATACGCAAGCTTCATGTAATGGTACACAGTGAAATTCAGTTAGGGCTCCTCTCTTACTGCAGCAGGTACAGACGATGGATGGAAGCTATCTTGGATTTGTACTCCTGTTCACAGACAGACAGACAGACACACAGACGGACGGATGGGCGGACACACACACACACACAAACAGGGAGCATACAAATGTTGGATGAGCACAAGCGATACTGCGTACAAAGAGCAGTGAGAACAGCATGCAGTTCTACAATTTCTTTTGCATCAGTCGACACAACACCGCCACCAGGTAGACGCAGTCTCACTTGACACTGCAGTGAGACAATACAGCTCACACACACACACACTCACTCACTGACAGAACACCAAGCAACACTGCATTTCATCTTGTTCCAGAGCTGTTCAACACCTGACCATGATGTGTTATGAAATGAAGAACATGTGACTACTACTTACAGGCTTGAAGCAGCACTTGCGAACTCCAGTTTCTATTGCGCCGAAGATGAAACCAGGCGTCTGCACAAAGGAAGAAAGCAAAAATAAAACTTGCCTCGTCACAGTTCGATGGACTTCTCGTGTGCACCGGTGGGGTCGGTGGGGAAAGCGCAGGCAAAATGTTTCAAACTGTCTTACTAAAACCAAGGTGCATCTAAACAAGATACACTTACTTGAAGTAGTTATGTCGACATGTACATGTAGACTATAAACCATACCATGTTCAACCCCAGCCCCATTCACTCTCCGGCTGCTGTCTCACAACTCCTGAAGACATTATAGGCAGGTATTCTTCCGTCCCCAACTATTGAAATGGTTTCACCAGGACAAGATACCAGAACAAAAAAAACAGTATATACATGCACCCATCCACCCATACCTGCATCCACACAGATATACACAAAGACACACCGGCACACAGACAGACACATAGACAGATACACACACAGACACAAACACACATGGACACAGACCCAGACACACACCGGCACACAGACAGACACAAACACACACAGACACACAGACGCACACAGACAGACAGACAGACAGACAGGCAGAGAGACAGACAGACAGACAGACAGACAGACAGACAGACAGACAGACAGACAGACAGACAGGTAGACGGACAGACACAAACACACACAGACACAAACGCATATGTACACACCTTATCTGTAAATAAGCATGCCAGTTGATATGAAATAGAAATGGACGGATGCTTGAGCTGCACCTCGGAGTAGACCTGGGTGAAGCAAAGGAGAAAGCAGAGGAGAAGAAAGATATAATAATGACCAGTGAACAAGACCAGCCACAGCAGCTACAGCAGCTACATCACTCATCCATGACAGCACGCAGAGTACAACAGTACAAGAGCACAGAGCCACAGCACCTACAGCACTCAGCCATGACAACACGCAGAGTACAACAGCACAAGAGCACAGAGCCACAGCAGCTACAGCACTCAGCCATGACAACACGCAGAGTACAACAGTACAAGAGCACAGAGCCACAGCAGCTACAGCACTCAGCCATGACAACACGCAGAGTACAACAGTACAAGAGCACAGAGCCACAGCAGCTACATAACTCAGCCATGACAACACGCAGAGTACAACAGCACAAGAGCACAGAGCCACAGCAGCTACAGCACTCAGCCATGACAACACGCAGAGCACAACAGTACAAGAGCACAGAGCCACAGCAGCTACAGCACTCAACCATGACAACACGCAGAGTACAACAGCACAAGAGCACAGCGGCTACAGCACTCAACCATGACAACATGCAGAGTACAGCAGTACAAGAGCACAGAGCCACGGATAGATACAGTACAGGGGCGGATCCAGGATTTTTCCAAGGGGGGTTCAGTTTTCTTCCACCCTTACCAAAGTGTGTTAAAATGATGACATAAAAAAAAAGAAAAAAGTGCTTTTTGAAAATGACAGATGCTGGACTACGGTGGTTAAGAAATTGGCTGCCGACTGATCGCCTGCAAATGTACAGTGCCTATAAAGCGGATAATCAAAAGTATTGTAGAATGGAGAGGATGACGACGACTGATGGAAATGAAATTTGCTGGAATACAGTGGTTAACAGGGTGGTTGCTATCCTGCCGACGGATGGGCATGTATGAGCAAACAGATTTTAGCACTTTTTCAGTTCAAAAAGCTCAAAAAGGGCGATATTCACCAAAACAACGCAATAAAGGGCGAAAGAAACAGGCTTTTCCAAAAAGGGAGGGCACCTTTGGGAAAGGGCTAGAGGATAGGCGCTCTGGTCCCATTGTCGAGGGCTTGAGCGCAGGTAGTGCTTCAGCCGTTTCAAGGCAGTGTTGCTGCGCTCAATCTCCGCAGAGGTGACGGGTAGTGTTGAAGCAATCCGGAGGAGGACGTGGATGTTCGGGAAAACATCGGCATCGCAATGCACAAGAGCTTCTTGTGGGGTAGCTGGAAGTGCACCAGACTTCTCTGCTGCGTCCTTCCATTTCCTGACCCACTTTCGGGTGTCAGTTGATATAGTTGAAGAGCTTGGCAGATCATCAGAATACGTGTCGACCAAGCGTTGAATGTTGGCAAGTAGGCCTTTCCCAAATCGGCGGGCGAAAAATTCGCCGAAAAGTAGCCTTTTCAGAATATCGCCGATCTTTTCGCCGAATTCTGAGATTTTACCAAGAAATCGCCGAATATACATTGTACATGTAATAATAATAATATCTTTATTAGGATGACCCAGAGGCTTGTCGCCTATCAATACCTTATTCCTTGGACTTTTGCTGACTTGGCTCCTAGACTACAAGGGGTTCACCGCTTTGAAGGGTGTATGTACATGTACATGTATGAGCTGAAGTGAAAGTAGTACAATGTACATGACATGTTTTGCAGGGTCGTGGGCAACTGGGCATGACCGCTCGGCGCTCGTGCGCGCCTGCGTCACGGCCCATGGGCATCAGCCGATTCTGGCGATTTTTTCAGCCGATCAAAAAGCCGAATAGGCCAAAATAAATGGCCGATTTGGGAAAGGCCTATTGGCAAGGTGTTCGTCTGAGGATCATATCAATCATGTATCAATGTAACATCTGCATGATTCAGCTCGGGCTATATATGCGCTACGGCAGGCCAGGATCCTAGGGGCAATTCGCATGCCTGGCTTTTGTAAAAAAAAAAATAAAACAAAAAACAAAACAAAAAAAACTGCACCATGGTCGGAAAAATTTTAGGGGGTTCGTTCGAACCCCCCGAACCCCCCCCCCCCTGGATCCGCCCCTGCAGTACCTTGTTAATTTTCTCCGCTGGATAACCGCGTATGTGAGACACCTCGCCGAGCATCAGCCATGCCGGGGAGACGTCCGTGTTCCTGGACGACTTGCGAAAGGCACTGGCCAGGTGGGAAGCCTCCTTGAACCTACACACAGCCAAGAAGGAACATGTACGAGATAGTGAACAGATGAGAATGGGCCAATAGCTTTCGGAGAAGAAGAAGGTTGGAAACTAGAAATAGTGTTGCTGTGTGTGATTAAATGTTGGTCTCCTCAAATCTCTGTGGAAAGACTCGAAACAAGACTCTCAGTATGGAGAAGGCTGATAGTGATACTCTACAGGTGATAGCACACTTATCAACAAGAGAGTGTTGACAAATAAAGTGTCATTGAAAGTCACCATTGGCAGAAGGTGTGCAGTTCTCAGACAGCATGTACCGCCGCATGTACACATACGCATGGTGCAGACTACAAAGAGACGATACCTGACCGCGGCACCTACATTTCAACTTGAACGTAAAGAGCAGCCAAATTGCGATGGACATTGAAGATAGCCTGCCAGTCATCACCACTGACATCCTCAGAGCTGGCCCAAAATTGCAGATAAGCTACACAAGGAAAACAGGGAGCGCAACCAACATAGAAGAATTCCATCACATACACTAAATTTAACCGGGTGGGGGTGTTAAGCAAGGCAGAGCAAGAGTGTTGGCCAATTGTGTTGCCTCTCAGCTCCAGACACAAGTCAATGTCCACTGCACAACTGGTGTCTGCCTGTGACCAACCAGCACAACTTAGGTAAGTGCTCGGTGAAGGTGCATACATAGGGAAAGGATCGTATCTTGATGTACAGACAGCACGAAGAAACGGGCACCCTGGTTGCAGGGCTGCAACAAAGATGGCACTTACATTCAGTGAGAGCCTTGACCTCTAGCACTTGCTCCTTGCTGGGCTTAACCCGGTCCCAGGGCACAACAAAGGGGTCCTGGAAAAGGGTTGGAAACAAGCAACATCAGCAACTGCAAGAAGATTACATCTGTGATAACAGAAGTCAATGCTGGATTGCTCAATCTGCTACTGACAACTGTCTCCATCTTACATATTGATGGTAGGTTCAAGCAAGAGTACATGAAGCCCAGTGTGCAGCTTCTGACTTTTCTCATGGGTGTCTGGTACGGCGAAATTCTTGGATTTCTTAATTTTTTTTAAAGGATAGAAAAGGACCAAGGAACCACGAGTCAGACTATACCATGTTTACTGTTCACTAACACCACCAGGTACTGGACAATCAGCTCATGCGATAACATTGCACGACACTGACCAAAGAGCTGATTGGCAGCTAGTTGTAGAACGTCAGTGCTTTTGGTCAGTGTCGTGCAATGTTATCGCATGAGCTGATAGTCCAGAACTGGTGGTGTTAGTGAACAGTAAACATGGTATAGCATGACTTGTAGTTCCTTGGTCGTTTTTCTTTCCATTAAATTCTTCCTTGGCTCTCCATCTGAGTCATCTTTACATCATATTGGGTGCAGATATGTGGTGAGAAATGACACGGTGCACACAACTGAGCAGAAGTTGTGCAGCAGGAGACCAACTTGAATCCTGCTTGTACGCACTGCACCACTCAAGTGATGTAATCCAGGAATTTCAGCATGACAACAACACACTCTTGGTTTAAAGTAGCTAGTGGGTGTGTGAGCGTTTTCCGTAAGAAAATAACCTGTACATGAATACTGGTTCTACTCAGTAAACACAACATCTCCATTGCATACTGTGGCACCAGTAACACAACATCTCCATTGCATACTGTGGTACTAGTAACACAACATCTCCATTGCATACTGTGGTACTAGTAACACAACATCTCCATTGCATACTGTGGTACTAGTAACACAACATCTCCATTGCATACTGTGGTACCAGTAACACAACATCTCCATTGCATACTGTGGTACCAGTAACACAACATCTCCATTGCATACTGTGGTACTAGTAACACAACATCTCCATTGCATACTGTGGTACCAGTAACACAACATCTCCATTGCATACTGTGGTACCAATACACTGAACCAGGCCGGCATGCACACAGTACATGAGCAAGTATATACACGTGCACACACATGCACACACACATGCACACACACACCTCAGACCTCAGACATGCCCATCGCGGAAGCAATGATAGCGAACAGCTATGTTAGACATAGCAACTTGTGCTGGGATTACACCATTCAACAGCTTGCAAGGCTGATGAATTGACCGCCACTATTTTTAGCCTGGTATCCACCACAGCTGTTTGAAGTGACTTTTTCTGGCCAGTGAATCCCCATTTTTCATTTTTTTTCTTTTTTTTACACACACACACACACACACACACACACACACACACACACACACACATGCACGCACACACAATGCTGGACACGCTACCTTGCACACGATGAGGCTTGGCTGCGCGTCAACCGGACTGTAGAGAGCAGGTGGCATCTCTCTCATGTACTGAATGTACAGCAGGGTAAGCAGGGCAACGCAAAGATCTGACGGCGACAGCAACGCACCAGCCACGCCGCGTTTCAGCACTGAATTCACAAACACATGCAACACGGAATACAGCAGGTACATGTACATTACAAGACAGAGAAAAGAAACAATGAGATAGGCATTTAGCATAATGGATCACTGACTATGTCACTATGCACGTAGAACATACATGTAGATATTCAGCTGGCCAGGCACATCCCATACACCGTGTACACTATGCACTGGAAGTTGACTGGAAAGCCAGCTACGCAAGAACTCACCCGGAACGGAATCTTGCACCTGCAGTTTGATTTTCTCCTCCAGGCGATGGCATGCAAGCTGCTGTTTGCCGACAAGTACATCCACCTGAGTCTGATAAAGGAGAGTCTCCAGAACATGTTGTGACAACGTTGCCTTGTCAACACCAGCAGCAGCGCTGGACACAAGTGTCTGCAATGCAGTTTGACATGCCTCGGTCTTCACTGCATGGGTACGACTTAGCAGCATGCACTGCAATAGGAAGAAAAAGGAACAACAAACAACAGTTGATCCATGCACGAGCAAACAAAGAGCTGTTGGCGGCGCTGGTGGAGGTACTGGTGGGAATAACACAGCTATTCCACAGAATGAGCACAATTTCACAAACATACAATATCTCCAAACTAGAAGGAGAGCTTGCTTGGTCATCACTGACTTTAGGATAGTTGCTCATCATCACAGCAACAGTGACAGTATAAACCAAGAACAGTTTGCCCGCCCGTTGCAACTGAAGAGGTAAAGGAAAAATGCTCGAGCCACATATCTAATGCATGCACCAACGAACACACACACACACCTCAGGCCTGCCCATCGCGGAAGCGATGATAGCGAACAGCTATGTTAGACATAGCAACTTGTGCTGGGATTACACCATTCAACAGCTTGCAAGGCTGATGAATTGACCGCCACTAATTTTAGCCTGGTATCCACCACACAGCTGATTGAAGTGGCTTTTTCTGGCCAGTGAATCCCTATTTTTCATTTTTTTCATTTTTCCATTTCTTCATTCATTTTTTACACACACACGCCACACCACATACTCCGGCATACACTGGCTGTTGGTAACCACCCAGGAGAATGAAAGAAGAGCTACAAGTAGGAGAATGAGAAAGAGAAAAAAGACGTGTGCGACCACAATCGTCGGGAATTGAACCCGCAACCTCTCGATTGGAAATCGACTGCACATACCACTGCACCATATGGGACACACACACACACACACACACACACACACACACACACACACACACACACACACACACACACACACACACACACGCACGCAAAGCACCCATACCTGCTGTAGCACGGTGTACGAGGGGCAGATGCTGGCAGCTTGCTTCAGCACTTTGTGCAGGTCACTGTCACTCTCACACCACTCTGCGTAGTACTTCAGATACGGTACCCACACGTCCTGCACCACACACAACAATGAACAACACAATCCCAAACATGATTGCTTAGGACTCACACCAAGACAGCGCTTCCCGCACACAGTGGGTGCGTAATAGCCATACCACTCAACATGGCATGTACATACTTCTCGATCACGATTGTGTTCCAGTGCCTTGGTCAGCACATGCAAGGACGTGTCCAGGGCATCCTTTGATGAGACAGATCTACAGAACCCCAAACAACAACGCAGTGTACGTCCATGCGCACACACGCACGCGCACACACGCACGCATGCACGCACACACACACGCACGCACGCACACACACACACACACACACACACACACACACACACACACACACACACACACACACAAAAACACAAGCTATTTTGTGTTACAATCAAGCACTACACAAGGGACAGTGAGAGACAATCAATCAAACACTCAGCCAGCCAGGACATTCCTGCACATACACATACATACACATGCACACACATGCACACACACACACACACGGCAGCAGATACGCCCTACCTCGCAAGGCCGTGCTTCATCGTTTCCAGATTAAGCCATGAGTCCACATCCTTTGGAGAGGACTCGAGATGCTTCTCCAGAGCACTGATCTTATCACTGACATTGCTGCCAGCAGTCTTGAAGTAACGCTCCGTGAGCGGATCAACAGCCGCCGCCGCTGCTTGTTTGACAGAGGACTGGGGTGCAGGAGTACGTTGCTTGCTTGTAGTGTCCTTCAGTAAGTTACTTTCACCAATCAGCGCCTTACCAACAGGCTCCCGCTGCTGCTTCTCCTCATCATGGCCGGCTGCAGGAGAAGGAGGCCGTGCTGATACGGGTGGCCTGATCGGATGTTCCAACAGCAGCTCAGCTGTGTCTGGGCAGCAAAGACAGACGCATGTGTGCATTACAACTTTGTTTTTTGTTTTTTTACAACAGAGGAAAAAGCCAACCAAAGCAACCATATCCCTGCCATAAGAGGTGATTTACACGACGGCAGTGCATCCCGCCGGGAAGTCAAGCACGTGGTCCCGAGAGCTTGCCGTGATACGGGAAAAACGAAAATCGATTCACACGGCGGAATGCACGTGCATGCATAGTACATCCCGGGAACAAACTATTTCGTAGTTTGTGAGGAAGGAGAATTTTCCGAGCTACGATCCTGTGCAGCCAATTTCTGAGAACTTAGCAGTGTCCTGTGGCCCCTGTATTGCGCGACTGTGGCCCCCGTCGGAAAAGAGATTTCAGTGAAGACAAGCTCCCGTTCAAAATCTCTGGTCCATCAAATTTGTTTTGCAATTTTTTAGATCCCTTGTTCTGTTTGATATTGTGAATAACCTGCGCTTGTCAAGGCGGTTCTGGACTCTGAATACCTCCGCTTGGGGAGGATATGTAACATTTCTGACTACATAGACTACGTTGTATTCACTCCTTATTGTGTGTTTCCCATGTAGCATGGTTGGTTGATTTCTGCGTTGCGCTACGGATGATTGAGTGTTAGTTTTTCTTTTCCTGTCTTCTTCTTCTTTATTTTGTTTTGTTCTCTCGCACATGTTGAATGCGCAGACTCGTTCCTTTTTTCGAGGATCCTTCGTTTTGGTTGAGTGGTTGATGGCCTTTTACCACGGAGAGTTGGCAAGAACCATTTCCTTTTGATATGTCCAATGCCTGTGAGTGAGTGTCTGTAGGTCGTAGCAGGGATGCTACAGATACTAGGAAAATCAAGTGGACGGTTCCTGAGTGGCTCGTGATGTTGAGGATGAAAAGTATGTGGACAAATTCCGTATGCCAAAATATCTTTTCAACCAACTCCACCGGAAATATGGACGACTATTGGAGAAATCGAACACTGGAATGGGCACTCCAATACCTGGCAAGAAGAGGTTGGCCATTTTACTCCACTGGCTAGCTTGTGGTGGGGCATACAAAGAGGTTTCTGACCTATATCAATTTGGCCATGCAACACTTTGCAAGATAGTGCATGAAGCAACCGCTGTCCTGGTCGAGCATCTGGTACCGGACGTAATCGTTTTCCCTGAGCAGCAGGAGCTGAATCGTGTGATGGACGACTTTGAGTCTCTGTGTCATCTTCCGCGGTGCTGTGGTGCTGTTGATGGCACATTCATGAAAATCATCAAGCCCGTGGACTTCGGTGATGCGTATCGCTGCCACAAAGGCTATCCGGCGATCCTTATTCTCGGCTGTGTTGATGTACGTGGTGTGTTCACAAATGTGAATTCTGGTAGGCCCGGCTCTGTTAGTGACGCATTCACCTTCAATCGTTCTGCAATTCGAGAGCGCATAGCTGACGGTCGATGGAGCAACGCAGCGCCAAAGGAAGTCTATGGACAACAAGATGTGCTATACCTTGTTGGTGATGCAGCATTTGTGCTGACACAACGGATGATGAGAAAAAAAAGAAGTGTTTTGATGGAGGGAATCCGACTGCAGCGCACCGGAGCTTCAATTACTGTGTAATCCGCATGCACCTCGTGGTGGAGCAGGCGTTTGGCCGCATGAAGGGTCGGTGACACGTGCTAGTTGACGTTTTGAGAGATCCTGAATTCACCACGCCATTGAGTACACATGACTGAATCTCCATGGCAGCATCACGTACGGGATGAATCCTGCCGTCGTGTAAATCGCCTCTAAGTGGCTGCTTTGTGTTCAGGTGCACAGTGCAGCACTCCCACTGCTGCCCTCAAGACAGCTAACGGTTCGCTTGGGCTTGGTTTTCATCGGCACAGATTACTCAACACTATACCACAAGTACTGCAGAACTCCCCAGAGTGTGTAACTCCACATACACCCCTGGCACGACCCGCTTTCAGAAGTACGCCATTATTCACGGAGCAGTCCACTAAACTGTACACGAGCCACGTTGCACGCAGCTAACCCCACAGTTACTTGTATGCACACAATAGAGCGGGCCACGCCATGGTAAATGATGTAATTCTGAACACTCCTGCAGCCGCGACAACCACCCATCGGCAGTTGCACACACTGGTGACTTGCAAACTCTTGACTATACAATCACGTACATGAGCTACAGTGCTGCTTAATGAAATCCAGTCGCGTCACTCAAGTACGCGCCGAGCATTGTGCAGCCCTAGCTAGACCTGCAAACACTGGGCTGCGAAATGGTGCAAGGCGCAAACTTGAGTGACGTGACTGGATTTCATAGAGCAGCACTGTGCATACCTGCGCAGTCTGGTCGTGCGTTCTGATGACCGGGGACATCTGCTGCTGGCCCAACCACCTTTGAGATGTGTTGCCTGGCAGATTGCAGCATATACCGCACCAACAACACAGTAGACAAGAGAAAACAAAACAAAAAGACAGCAAACCAATAAGCTGTGCTATTCAGTAGGGATGAAACGATTACACCGATTACTCGGAGCTTACTCGCTATCTCTATGATCGCTACTCGGTATGCTGTTATCGAGTATGCACTACTTGTACATGCGCATAGTACTAGCTAAGTCGCACTAGTGCACTGTCTGCATAGTCAACTCCAGCATGCGTCATCCAAGGCGACAAAAATTCACACCTTCGCCCTTTTGGGATCCGGTGTGAATACAAACATAAAGAGTTGACTTTGCCACTACTAACCAAGGACACTTGCTATCGTTGCAAGTGCCGTGAAGATCATACGGACACAGCTTCTGCTGTGGAGCAATCGAGTTCTGGAAAGTAGCAGTGGTCGCGGGGAACTGACGATGGAAATCAGGCGTCCACCTGAGCAAGCAAACACACCACCAGATACACACGCATACACACACACACACACACACATGCACGCGCGCGCGCGCCAATAACACTAACGCGGCAACATAGCAAAGTACATTTGCAATTCGCAACAGACAAATCAATTCCAGATACCGGCATGATACTGACAGGCATTGAACAGATCCTCCAATGTTCGACTAAATATCTACAACTACAGTCCATTTCAAAACTATAGACGCGTACCTAGGCAAAAACCGTTATGCCAGCATCTATACCACATAAAATCTGTGATCACTTTGTGCATAATTTTTTCCAAATTGGGCGTCTGTTATCCAATCCTTTAGAAACTATATGAGAGTAATTGTGGAGCGATCCTGAGCAATATTCCGAAAACTATTCTCAAAAAGGTCCAGGCAAATTTGAAATATTTCAAAAACCCTACGCGTCTATAGTTTTGAAATGCACTGTAGAAGACCAAGGTTGTCGGCAATACACTACATGCATCAGTAACATACTGGTAAGAACGGAAGGCTGTCAGCGGCGACGCATATGACTGGAAGCTAAGCACAGGGCCTGGACATGGTGTGCTGGACATGGGCACTTCCCCAGCCTGCAAGTGCTTACAACATGGACACACACACACACACACACACACACACACACACACACACACACACACACACACACACACACACACACATACACACATACACACATACACACACACACACACACACAAAAGCACACACACACAAACACACAATTGCAAACTCTAACACAGACAGATATTACCAAAATGATAATTATACATCCTGAGAATCACACGGCCTGCAGGCAGTACTGATTTCGGCACGGGTTATATGCATGCAAGTGCATTGTTTCACAATGGCAATGGGTGCCTAATCGAAATCCAAGGTCAATGCTGTATGCGGCTAATTGTTCGCTTCTCCTTGCCACCAGCATTGATTTCGCAATCTGTAAGTGTGACCTGGCCGTTAGCTGCAGGATTAAGTGACTGACCTCATTATTCGTCTGCTCGCGTCCTTCAGACTGACTGGACGTGAGCACTGGAGTGGTGATGTCGTGTCTTAGGGACACTGGTGATGCTGGGAGATTGCTCTGTGGCAGGAGTCGACTTGACCATGTTGCTAAGTGACTATGTGGTGCACAGATGCTGGACAGAGTCGCCTCCTTTTGCAGCTGTAACAACAAGTCAAACACAAACAAAACCCAGGTCAAAGTCCACACACACACGCACGCACGCATACACACACACTCGCATGCACACACTCGCATGCACACACTCGCATGCACACATGCACACATACACATGCACACACATCCACACACATGCACACACACACACGCACACACACACACACACACACACACACACACACACACATACATACACACATACACACACGTGTACTTGCTCATGACCAGACACTGGCCATGTGGGTCTCCCCTTCATAAGAAACATTGGAAAGATGACTCAATTGGCTATGGAACCGTCCAACGACTGACAACCCCCAAATCCCCCACCTACGGGTGGACTTGAAAAGTATGATCCCACTTTATATGGGCTCACCACGCCGCAGTAAGTGAGCAAGGACAAGGTGCAGAAAAAGACACACATACACACACACACACGTACACACACACGTACACACACACGTACACACACACACACACACCCACACACCGGTACAAAAGGAGAACACAAACCCGAATATTCAACCGTACGACGTGGCATTACCTGTTCGTTTCGAAGGCGATCCACAGTCTTCATAGGACTACCTGCAGCGGAGGCACTGGAAGCTGGTGAACTCGCTGCCCTCCTGTCTACTGCAGTATGTTGCTTGATAGCAGTAATCTTTGTTTCAGACCGTGTATGCCCCTTCTCTAGTTGGGTTGGGCGATCTGCTGGACGTTGGTTGCCACCCGTCTTCAGCTTGGACGCCGCTGGTAACTCTGCAGCCACGTTTAGAGGTGTGGTTTTCTTTGCAGGCTCTTGTTGTGACTGACGTTGTTGCTGCGGTGCTTTGGGTCGTGACGGAGCAGCTGGCTGGCGCTGTGGCTCATTGCTCTGACTGGTCTGGTCGGTTTTAGACAATGCCTGCTTAGCCTGCTGAGCTATCGTGTCTGATTGCTGCTGCTGTTCAACTTGATCGCATTGATTGGGTGTTGCTGGTTGCGAGCTGGGAGGAGTGCCGCCAACTTCATCTGGGTTCTCCTTATACGTAACTCGCCTCCTGTGCATTCTCATCGGTGGAGCTGGTGCATTTGCACAACCACCAGGAAGACTACCACTACGGGTGCTGCTGCTGCTGTCGTTGCGGGTACCATGGAACGCCGACTTATCTTTGCTACTACCTTGGTGTTCACAGCCACCGGGGCTAGCTCGTAGTCGCTTAGCATCTGGGTTAGACTCGGATTCTCGTGTGCGCTTTCTAGAGCTGGAGTTGGAAGGACTGCCATCGGATTCCACGGCGGCTTTCTCATGGGAATCGGGGTGGCTGCTGTGGCTCATCCTCCGGTTGCCGTCAGTGGTGACTTGTCTTGCAACGCCAGACCTGCTGGAAACCTTGATGGACAAAGACCTATCGTCAGATTCAGTGTGTGCCGCCGGCGAGGTGCTAATAGAGCGTTGCTCGCTTGAAGAGCTATTCCTTGTGGAGACAGTTATCTTACCGATGGGGCTACGAGACCGGTGTTGCGAAGTGTCTTTACCATCAGGCACTTGAATAGATCTAGACCTGGAGCTGGAGCGATGGTGACCATCCGTATCAGAGCGGAGAGTCACCTGAAGCGGAGGTGTGTGCGGCGAACGTGCTTCTCTAGTAACTCGTTCATGATCCCTACCGCTGTCAGCAGGGACCGTGCTGCTACTGCTGCTGCGGGTGGTGGTACCGGCAGTGGTGGTACTGGCGGTGGTGGTGCCAGCGTTTCTCTGTCTAGTCATATCTCCTGATGTGGTTAGATGCGAAGGCGACGAGGGCGTACAAGGAGTACTGTTTGAAGCTGGTGTTTCCTGTCTTGCACTCGCGGTGCTTGGCGGGACGGGCGATCTGGACGAACTACGCCGTGTTCGCTGTAGCTCAACTTGCTTTTCTCTCGGACCCATTTGTTGTGAGGCGTTCAACGCAGTGGCAGAACTAGCTGAGCGTGGTGGATCAGACACATTTGTGTTAGCAGCAGATGGAGGAGAGTCTTTACTTCTGGCGGGAGACTTACTGTCAGTACTGGATGAATTAGAAGCAGTAGCAGTCCTGGAGCGGGGTGAACTTTCAGCTTTACTGGGCACGCTCGAAGAGGAGGATGGCTTGGCAGCAGAATTAGCAGCAGCACTTCTCGTCACCCTTGCGGTGGTTGTGGCAGCTGCTGAAGTAGCTAGAGCAGACTTGGTTCTAACATCTCCAGCCGTGGGGGGAACGTCTGCATGGTTCGTCGAGTTGGCAGACCTGCTACTACCACTCCTGGTCGCCCCAGCAGATGTTGCCGTTGACTTAGAGCCAGCAGTAGTAGCTATAGACGTACTAGGGCTATCAGCTTCACAAGCAATGGTAACAGTAGCTGTCTTCACACCAGCCTCGACAGAAGCTGAGGATTTGCTTGAGCCAGATGATTTATGAGTGTGTGAAGACTGACCTGACGCACCTGCTGTTTGTTGATGAGTGCTACTGGAGAGTACATTCGCTGATGTAGAAGTCGAATCTGATCTGGCTGCACTTGGACGCGATGACGTTAATGAAGACGCACTTCTGGTTGACACTCGCTCAGGAGCAGTAGAACTACCAGTATGTAGTGTTGATTT